ATTTGAATGTTCGCACTAGTCCACAAGTCTCATTTCGTCCATAGTCTCATCAGATAGAACTACATACTAAATAAATAGCACCAACTGAAAGTACTACTGGAGAAGTTTCATTTGAATGGTCACACCAAAGGATTTCATCCAGAAATTCAAAAGGTAGAGGAACTACAAACTAAATAAACAGTAGCATGAGAAAGTACTGCTGAAGAAGTTTCATTTGAATGGTCACACTACAGGAATTCATCAAAAGACTCAAACGTTGAGAACCACCTCACAAGTCTTCATCATTCACTCTGGCAGTGAAAGGGCTAATCCACTTGACTTTTTTTTAAGGGTGTTGACTGTATTATTAAATTTGTCTCACAAAACTGTCCATATCAGCTCAACACCTACACTGGCTGAGTCTCAAGTGTAGCGTCAAAGTGGTCAATACAGCACATGCACTGTAAAAGCCCGTAAGCTTAAGGATAGTCTATCAGTACTCCATTTGGTGAGCTGATCCATATCTATATTTATAGCGCTTAAACAGTAACTCCATGATTTCAAGTCATAATTGAAGTACTAAACTTATTTCATACTAATATGCATTATACAGCAACACTCTTCATTTTAACTTTTTACCTATTGTCTTTTAAGAATCTTATTGTATCTTTTTGTAGTTTTACAGTCAAACCGGGAAAACTATGAACACCAGAAATATTTCTGTAAAGTTACTGTGTTGTAGGAAAACTGAACCAGAATCAAGAACCTTAATAAGTTTGTGGTTTTGGGCTAGTTCGCATGTCCTGATCTTTGCTGTGATTGGTCATAACACAATAAACATTCCAGGGATATTTCAAGTGTTCACGGTTTTCCCAGTCGTACCGTAATTGTAGTTGTATGTTGTAAGTAATTATCATAGTTGACTGTATTGTAATAGCTGAGCTTTAAATCCGATCGTGTTTAACCCTTTAAGTCCCAATAGTGATAAAGATCAATTTTCTCTTAACAATATCCATACACTGTCAAGAGATAAGTTATGAGAATTAATAGATTGATCATCCAAGAGAAAATGCCTTGATCTATTATCAAATTCTCACAACTAATGCTTTCAGGAAATGTGTGGAGATCAGTTTGGAGAATTTCTATGTGGATACCGGGGCTTGATAATGATGACGATTACCCTTTCCTTGTACTCATAGATAAAAACTGTTACATGTAGTTGTATACTGGATCAGTTCCTTTTAAGAGTTACAGGAACAAGCATAAACCTTCTGACAAAGGCGAGGGAAAAGAAGAGACTAAATTAAACCCATTAGGTACGTTATACTTACCCATCTCCACCTGAAATGTCAAAACGTAGGAATGAATGATGCATGTTATGCACGTCATTCATGAAGCATGGTGAACAGAGATCATAGTTTGGACAGTCTGCACATTTCCACCTTGTTCCAGCAAGAGGAGATTGCTTACAGCCATCACATTTGACAAAAGTGTGCTTCACACCTACAGCAGCATCGAGACAGCATTTCAGAATAGTTACTTCCTAGGCATAGGGTACATGTGTGCCTTATACACAGTCTTACTTTTATCTTACTCTTTCATAAAATGCCACATAAATTGTGAAAATAATATAATCAATCTGTCCTACACAAGTCCCATTAATCACAAAATTAAGGATCAAATAATATGAGGAAAAGCCAAAAAAGAGAAAATGCTTTAGAAAAAAAATTGTAAATTTATATGGGTAAGAAATAAATGATCAGAAAAATGCGTATTCTTGTTGATCCCTGAATTTTTTTCTTATGACTGTAAACATCACCAAGTCGCTGAATCCCGGATGTGTACTTCCGCCTTCAGTGTTGTCGTCCCCACAAAGGTATAAAAAGACGCTTACTCAGAAATATCTTGACAGTATTAAAGTACAGTATAATTTGTGTCTTCAACCATAACCTCTGCAAGCGTGTTCTGATATAGTTGCATATCGAAAGGGTGTTACTAAACTCAGGCAATTCCTTATCAACACTTTGACAAAAACGATCAACAAACGGCATGGTTTACATGACTTCAAAAACATATATGCTGCATGAACTTGACTTCGATGACGGAGACTGATTTAAAATGGGATCAGATATATATGTTCATCATTAGTACTAATTTCGAGCTCACAAGGGCAGCGAGAACCTTACATTACAACTAAGAAAACAGTTGTAGCTACTTGACGGTGGATTTCATCAACCCGTGTCGACCAGCTAATCACCAGCTTCGTCAATATGCAAATTCCGTTTAGAATCCAAAATCTTTGAGTTTTGCAGACGTAATTTAGGTTTTTTATCGTTACGTTGTTGGGAAGAAATAGAGAAATCCAAATTGGCACCGACAAATTCGGGTGAAAGATTCAGTGATAAAAGAGTGGTGTAACAACGTAAACATATTTACTCGTCTTCGTAGGTCAAAATTGAAAGTGGCCTGAAACAGATTGGAACACTCTTGTCCTAAAGGGAAAAATTTGTGACCAAATCGAAAGTGAATAATTTACTTGCCTGCTTGAGCACAGTCCAAAACCCGAAGATCAAACTTTTCCGAATGTCCAGCGCGGTAATTAGCTTGTCTTCCAGAATCCCAAACAACTAAAACAGTTCCATCGGGAAGGTTTCTATCTTGACCATGTTGTACCACGGTTCCAACATTTCCTTCTCCTCCATCCTGGTCTCCCCACATCCAGTCCGGACCACGGACTACACGTGAGCCGACTTCCATTTTCTTATTTCTCGTCTATCAAGATCTTAGTTGCGGGTAACGACACAAAAAAGGAACACCTTCTAGGTGACCGCCATTTTGAATTGAATTTGGTACAAAGACGAAGTTGCGTGACAGCAGTTTCTCACTTCCGGGAAAAATCCCCAAGATGACGTACCCTACCACGGAGCGTTATAACGGTAACGAGGAAAAACCTAAAACAAGAAAACGTTCAAAACGACCAAAATGAAAAATGTTTACTAAAAAAAAAGCAAAGAAACAAAAAGTCTGCCAGAAGGTTAAAGGCCGGAAGTAAACGAGAAAAACAAAGAACTTAATTGATACTTAATGAAATTTCGCGGGTCTTAATTTCCTGCGTGATTTGCAAAAGTCGTAAAATTAATACCCCGCGAATACAAAAACCCAGCAAACTTTAATACACATGGAGAAAATTCAAATCAGAAAAGAAAATGATTTTCGTGTAATAACAAAAACGTATCTAGTACAGTATATGTGTCGGCAAATACACCATTATTAACTGGTTTTACTGGTAAGCGAGTCCCATTTTGTATCTTCTGTAGAGCGTACGTTAATTTGCCAAGATTTCTAGTTTACGGCCTTAAAAGTTAATTTTTAAATTTACGTAAAAGTTCACACTTTTGAGCATTTGAGCAGACTGAGCAGGAAAAACAGCTTTCCCGCTCTTTGACATTTTATGTGAGCTGCTCAAACATGGCAAAGAGGCCTTAAAAGGGCCTCTCACAATCCTTTTCAATAAAATCCTAACCAGTGGTACGTACCCTACCCTGTGGAGCCATGGTCTAATTATACCAATCTTCAAAAAAGATGATCCGTCCAACCCAGAGAATTATAGAGGAATTACTCTTTTATCAGCCATGGGAAAGATTTTTACCTCAATAATGAATAGCAGGCTTTGTGACTATCTAATTGAAAAGGGAATAATTATTCCAGAACAATGTGGCTTCCGAAAAAAACATGGTACACAGGACAGTATCTCCATTTTAAAAGCACTAATAGACAAATATGTTAAATCTAAACCCAAGAAATCAAATAACCTTTTATTCACCTGCTTTGTTGACTTTAGTAAAGCATTCGATAGTATCCCCAGAGGGAAACTGTTTCAAAAATTTTTTTTTTAAGGGTGTTGACTGTATTATTAAATTTGTCTCACAAAACTGTCCATATCAGCTCAACACCTACACTGGCTGAGTCTCAAGTGTAGCGTCAAAGTGGTCAATACAGCACATGCACTGTAAAAGCCCGTAAGCTTAAGGATAGTCTATCAGTACTCCATTTGGTGAGCTGATCCATATCTATATTTATAGCGCTTAAACAGTAACTCCATGATTTCAAGTCATAATTGAAGTACTAAACTTATTTCATACTAATATGCATTATACAGCAACACTCTTCATTTTAACTTTTTACCTATTGTCTTTTAAGAATCTTATTGTATCTTTTTGTAGTTTTACAGTCAAACCGGGAAAACTATGAACACCAGAAATATTTCTGTAAAGTTACTGTGTTGTAGGAAAACTGAACCACAATCAAGAACCTTAATAAGTTTGTGGTTTTGGGCTAGTTCGCATCTCCTGATCTTTGCTGTGATTGGTCATAACACAATAAACATTCCAGGGATATTTCAAGTGTTCACGGTTTTCCCAGTCGTACCGTAATTGTAGTTGTATATTGTAAGTAATTATCATAGTTGACTGTATTGTAATAGCTGAGCTTTAAATCCGATCGTGTTTAACCCTTTAAGTCCCAATAGTGATAAAGATCAATTTTCTCTTAACAATATCCATACACTGTCAAGAGATAAGTTATGAGAATTAATAGATTGATCATCCAAGAGAAAATGCCTTGATCTATTATCAAATTCTCACAACTAATGCTTTCAGGAAATGTGTGGAGATCAGTTTGGAGAATTTCTATGTGGATACCGGGGCTTGATAATGATGACGATTACCCTTTCCTTGTACTCATAGATAAAAACTGTTACATGTAGTTGTATACTGGATCAGTTCCTTTTAAGAGTTACAGGAACAAGCATAAACCTTCTGACAAAGGCGAGGGAAAAGAAGAGACTAAATTAAACCCATTAGGTACGTTATACTTACCCATCTCCACCTGAAATGTCAAAACGTAGGAATGAATGATGCATGTTATGCACGTCATTCATGAAGCATGGTGAACAGAGATCATAGTTTGGACAGTCTGCACATTTCCACCTTGTTCCAGCAAGAGGAGATTGCTTACAGCCATCACATTTGACAAAAGTGTGCTTCACACCTACAGCAGCATCGAGACAGCATTTCAGAATAGTTACTTCCTAGGCATAGGGTACATGTGTGCCTTATACACAGTCTTACTTTTATCTTACTCTTTCATAAAATGCCACATAAATTGTGAAAATAATATAATCAATCTGTCCTACACAAGTCCCATTAATCACAAAATTAAGGATCAAATAATATGAGGAAAAGCCAAAAAAGAGAAAATGCTTTAGAAAAAAAATTGTAAATTTATATGGGTAAGAAATAAATGATCAGAAAAATGCGTATTCTTGTTGATCCCTGAATTTTTTTCTTATGACTGTAAACATCACCAAGTCGCTGAATCCCGGATGTGTACTTCCGCCTTCAGTGTTGTCGTCCCCACAAAGGTATAAAAAGACGCTTACTCAGAAATATCTTGACAGTATTAAAGTACAGTATAATTTGTGTCTTCAACCATAACCTCTGCAAGCGTGTTCTGATATAGTTGCATATCGAAAGGGTGTTACTAAACTCAGGCAATTCCTTATCAACACTTTGACAAAAACGATCAACAAACGGCATGGTTTACATGACTTCAAAAACATATATGCTGCATGAACTTGACTTCGATGACGGAGACTGATTTAAAATGGGATCAGATATATATGTTCATCATTAGTACTAATTTCGAGCTCACAAGGGCAGCGAGAACCTTACATTACAACTAAGAAAACAGTTGTAGCTACTTGACGGTGGATTTCATCAACCCGTGTCGACCAGCTAATCACCAGCTTCGTCAATATGCAAATTCCGTTTAGAATCCAAAATCTTTGAGTTTTGCAGACGTAATTTAGGTTTTTTATCGTTACGTTGTTGGGAAGAAATAGAGAAATCCAAATTGGCACCGACAAATTCGGGTGAAAGATTCAGTGATAAAAGAGTGGTGTAACAACGTAAACATATTTACTCGTCTTCGTAGGTCAAAATTGAAAGTGGCCTGAAACAGATTGGAACACTCTTGTTCTAAAGGGAAAAATTTGTGACCAAATCGAAAGTGAATAATTTACTTGCCTGCTTGAGCACAGTCCAAAATCCGAAGATCAAACTTTTCCGAATGTCCAGCGCGGTAATTAGCCTGTCTTCCAGAATCCCAAACAACTAAAACAGTTCCATCGGGAAGGTTTCTATCTTGACCATGTTGTACCACGGTTCCAACATTTCCTTCTCCTCCATCCTGGTCTCCCCACATCCAGTCCGGACCACGGACTACACGTGAGCCGACTTCCATTTTCTTATTTCTCGTCTATCAAGATCTTAGTTGCGGGTAACGA